ACATAAACCTATACTTCAGCCGATCAAGTTATATCAAAAACGTATTGCTTATTTTAGAATAAAATGAGTTATAAAATTTAAGACTAATTGTCCTGGGTTAAAATATTTCTTTCAAGTAAAGATTTTACTAGCGCCAACCATAGAACAAGGATCATTCATAATTACTCCTTTTCTCCCAACGACTGAATATATTTGATCTACTAAACTTTCAATAAACAGGCATTTAAAATCACATTTGTCTTATATCGCATACACTTTTATGCAACAATTGTGTTTTACTTTTACCCCTTCTTCATAAGGATTAAGCAAATTTGCCAGACTTGCAAGATCTGTTACTAGAAATCGTTCAGTGATGCAGCAACTTGGCAGCAGCAACCTTCTACCCCATTCGGCACCGCCTACAAATGCGTTATCAGGCTTCAACGGTGGAGGCATATTGAGCCCACCGATGCTGAGCAACAGCCTGCCAGGCAAAGGTTCTCCTCTGTTGGCAACCAGCTTGAGAGGTATTAGTACAGGATTTGTCGAAGAAACACCGGAGCCTCTGATCAAGTCGAGTGGATGGTCTCTCACCTGGTTGCAATCTCTCACCTCTTCACAAATGCCTGTAGCAGACATGATGACAAGTGGAAACTCAAATGCTTCTACTAAGCTGTCGGAGACAGGAAGAATGGATGCAGAGAAGGGAGGCTTGGTTAGTAGCTCAATTACCGCCTAATTAACAGGAGGTACATAGTATAAACTTCAATTTAATAAAACAATATTTTCCGAATATATTAATAGCTTTTATTTGCCCCTTAAATCATAATCTTAGTGGTCGGTTGATGGCTTATTTTAGTGAGAGCATTTGATTACAACCTGCTGTTTGTTTATTTATTATTGCTGAAGCTACCTAATAATTGATGACGAAATGAGTCTAGACGATACTATTTAACATTCATCAGCTGAATTTTTACAAACCCTAAAGATAGTATCAACAATTTGGATGTAAGTTTATCTTATTTATTCATAAATTATGAAATACAAGTTGCTTTTCAGTAGATTTAGCTAGCGATTATGGCCAAAAAACAGTTTCACAAGATCTTTTTTTATAGTAAAATTAACTATATCTGCTATAAAGCGTTAAGCTCGTTGCATTTATAAAAAAATTAATTTTTGTTTGTTAGCCATAAGCCATGACATGGGTTTACATTATATTATTTGTTGGTATCAATATAAAAAAATCAAAAGATAATTGTTTAAAACTTTCATATTATTTATTTTACCATCCTCCGAAATAAAAAAGAGCTTAATATAAGTTATGCCTTATACACAAATTAATGCCTGAAGAGGATATGAAAATTATCTATTAAAGAGAGAATTTTGAGGTTTGTGAGATAAGATGTTCAAATCAGGAGATCTTAGTATACAGCGAATGGCCTTCCAGCTAAGTTTTAAGTCATAGTTCTGGGCCAATAACAAAGTAGAATGCTGTTCTTACTTATAATAATTAAAAAAATACGAAAGCTTGAATTTATCTCGTAAAGTTTCATCATATTAGTTTAAAATCATTTTTTATGCTAAATTATATAACTTCTCTTGATCTTGATACATCTCTAGAGCTCTAGAGCATGAATTACGTCAGAATATTCTTGGAAATCATTACTACGCTGAATTTTTTTAAGGCAGATCAGCATGATTACCTTATTTTTTTCCCAAGTAAACTCGTAAAAAAACAATATCTGGAATCACACAAACATTGTGATACTCAAATTGCAGAATACGCTCGCTAAAATATATATATAAACATTCTTGAAAATTGCTGTTTATCTGCTTTATGTATTGTATACAGATTTGCCAACTACAATATAGAATATCCGAAACCTTTCCCTATTAAGTACGGCTGT